AACCACAGGTAGGGTGCTTACTCTGCTTATCAGAAACACGGGGGAGGGGCGACTAGCGATAGGAAAGCACAGGAAAGACAGGAAACTCCATTTGACTACCTCTGATCCACAGAACAAAAGCACTAATCCACTGCTGTACAGGCTTCATGCTGTTACCCCCAGTGAAAAAGCAAGTGTCTATTTCAGTTTGGGAACCTGAAAAGGAAAAAAAAATGAGACCGATTTCTTGCGAGAAGAACAGCAAATTGTGCGGGAGTCAGTCACTCCAGATCTGCTCCATCAGAAGAGCCCAGGCACTGAAAGAACTCTGCGCCTGAGAGCTGGGGCCACACTTCCTGCCGAAGACTGAAACTGGACAAGGACAACAGAAACTCCTCACGTGCACACTCCTATACCACATCACCGAGTACTGGGTCATAAGCAAACTCAGTTTGCTATTAGGAAAGGATAGGACATGGAGAGAGACTGTCTCCCAGGTACAGGTACAAAGAGAAAGCGTAAAGCTGAGGGTGGAGAAAACCCTTCCACCAAACCAGCCTCCAACCTGGGCACAAGAAAATGCCAAAGGAATCTGAATCTGGGTACACTGAAGGTAAGCACAGCAAGAGCAAACCAAACTATACTCGGAACCACACTGTGTCCCTTTCTGAATATGAGTATTACGTACACACAGTACCCTAATTTCAAATGCAAATTACAAATTATACAAGAAGGAAAAAGGGAAAAAGTGGGAGTGAAGGAGGGAAGAAGGAAAGAAGAGAGGGAAAGGAAAGGAAGAAAAAGGGGCAGTGGGAAGTGGGGAATTAAAAGATGATATGTGCGTACATGAAAATGTCAGAGTGGAACTCAACATGGTACCTTGTGTAAAAAAAGTATAACAGCAGTACGAAAGATGGAGGTAGGAGTTAGAAGGGTGCTGTTACAAGGTGCTTAAACTACAGTTACGTGTGGCTTGACTATGATTGAGTCAACAGGGGGCAGCATATACGATGGCAGTCCTGTAAATAATGCTACCTGGGGATGTCATAGTCATCTTAGTAAGTGCTCCCTGATGCTCATTTGACACCAAAATTGCCTAATGATGCATTTCTCAGAATACATCCTATCATTAAAATGGTACGTGGTTGCATAAGTACAACAGGTAAACCATAATTAATTAAAGTATGTATGTAAACTTTAAGGCAAGGGTTAGCAAACTTTGGCTAGTGGGCCAAACCCAGCTCACATTTTATAAATAAAATTTTTTGGCACACAACCCCCCCACCCCTCTGTGAATGTATAGTACTTATCATCTATGGCAAATTCATGCCAGGTAATTAGAGCTGAGTTACTGCCCTCAAAACTAAAACATTTCTTACCTATTACAGGAAAAGTACGTCAAAACCTGTTCTAAGGAGAGTTTCTTACCTATTACAGGAAAAGTACGTCAAAACCTGTTCTAACCCTAACCTAATAAATCTTACGGAGACATGGCTGTAAAAACAAACGTAGATTTTTTTTAAAAAAGAGGAAAATGTACAAAAAATTGATTCAACCAATAGAAAAAAATTATGTTAAAGTAAGTGGTGTAACCGTATCAGTTAAAACACAGAGATTGTAGTAATACATGAAGAAGAAAAAGCAACCAACTGTGTTGTCTACTAAGACCTATGTTAAATATAAAAATATAGATACATTAAAAGCAGAAAAATGGGAAGCTATAAACTACATAAACTCTAAAAGCTGAAAAGTGACTATAATAGTATCAGAAAAAAAAATCTTCAAGACAAGGAGCATTACCAAGGATAAAAATGAACATTAGCTGCAGATTAAAGGCCAGTTTAGTCACACACACACACACACATGCACACACACACGTACACACACACGCATGCACACACTCCAAATGCATATCCCTTCACTTAAAAACACATGGTTAAAAACTTACAAAACTAAAATGAGAAATACAAAGATCTACAGTTATACCTAAAGACTAACATTCTTTTCTAAATAGTTTGTAGAATACACAGAAAGCCAATAAGGACATAAAAATCTTGACAACACTACTGAAACTTTGACCTAAATGACATTTGTAAAGTACTTCTGTCAACAATAACAGAATACCCATTCCTTTCAAGTGCACACAGAACATTCAGCTGGGTAGGCCATATTGAGCCATAAAACAAGCCTTAACAAAAGAAATTATACCGAGTATGTTTTTTAACTGTAGAAGAATTAAACTAGACAAAAATGATGGAAATGCATCTGAAAATCTCCAAATTTTTAAATTAAACAGCAGATTTCTAGATAGCAGACGGCTATAGGCAGAACAAAAAAAATTAGAAAATATGTTGAATTTCATGAAAATGAAAAATTATTACAGCAAAATGTGTGGAATGCAGCTAAAGCAGCACTAAGGGAAACTTACAGCACTCAATGTTCATATTAGAAAAGAAAGAAGTCTTAATATTCAAGCTTCCATCTTTTGAAACTGAAAATACAAGCAAATTAAATCTTAGTTACTTTTCTCATTGCTGGGACAGAAAACCCAGCACTCACAAGTTAAAGGAGGAAGGGTTTATTTCAACTTAGAGTTTGTGGAGGTTTCAGTCCATAGTCAGCTGGCTCCATGATAGGGGGCACTAAAGAGGAAAAACGAGCCCATGGTGAGGGAAACAGAAGGCACCACATGCCCGCCTTCCTACTGTCCCTTATCCTTTGTCCAGGCTACCAGCCTTTAGGTGATGCCACCTGCACCTAGGGTGGGCTTATGTTTGCAATAAATCCATTCAGCCCCCAGAACTACGCCAATTCTAGTGGACTCATTTACCACACACTCTTAATCCCAGTATCACGCCTTAGATCCAGCCAGCTCTGAAAAACGCCACCTATGCGTACATGGGTCATCCAGATACAAACCATAACAAGATCCAAAGAAGGAAAACGAGGAGCAGCAGACAACACATTTGAAAACAGAAAATAATACAGAAAAACGGTGAAATTAGAAGGTCATTCTGTTCAAAGATAGGAAAGCGAATAAACCAACAGAAAAGATGCAATTTCAAAATCAAAAATGAGAGAGGGAGCATCACTCTAGACCTTACAAACCTTTATTTACATTGTTTTCTTCCATTTTTATTTTTTTATTTTATAGTTCTTTTTTTTTTTTTTTTTTTTTTTTTTTTTTTCATTTCATTTTGACAAGATCTAAATTGTCCAGGCTGGGCTCTAATTATCAATCCTCTTGCCTCAACCTACTGAGTAGCTGGGATTACAGGTGTGCACCACCATGCCCAGTTCCTTTCCTTGTTTTTGAACATCTTTTTTTCTGCTTAGTCATTTTGGCAGCAAGACCTCTCCCTATGTGACTGTGTAGAATTATAGCCTTCAAGTAACATTTCTAATTTCCTTTTAGTTATTGCAATGTGATGTCCAAATTTTATACTTAAGTTTAGAAAGAACAGAGGTTTTTTTTCATGGTAGCTAAAGAAAAAAAAGACTTTGTGGCAAAGCATTATGCGAACCGGAAATGGAAAGCTGTCAGGCATGGAGGGCGTTTGAGAGAAAAAAAGTCCTTCCTCGTGTCTGTCACTCCGCAGGGTTTCTGCTTAGCACCGCCCCTTCCTTTAGGCATGCGCTCTGCTGTCTGCCACTCTGCCAACTGACCCTTCTGGTTATTTATCATTTCTGTCTCTCTGTACGTCTATTTTGAATATAACTTCTGCCTCCCATTGCTCTCCACCTCTACCTCCTGATGTCCTGTCAGATTTTTCTGTCTGTCTTCTTATTTTCAACTTTAGGTCCCAAAACAGGACTGCTTGATCTAGCTCATCTTTTCTCACCAGTTTATTTTGAAGGGCTCTGGGAACATGGTCTGCTCTTGAGTCAGGTACACATGTTTATCCAAACATAAGTGGCTTAATCATTATTCTGAAACTTGGCCCCTTTGGCAGCAATATCTAAGGACGAGGAAATTTTCTCTTTGAAGGAGATATCCATATAAGTTTAGAAAGAACTTATATGGGTTCAGCGCTCAGGGTTTGGCTATTCCAGTAGACATTGCCCAGTCCATATTTGAATACATTGTCATGTATAAAAGTATGTATTTTATTGATAGGTATTTAGAAATACATGTATTTTTGTTGCATCAATTTTACAGGATTCCTCAGCTAAATTACCTTTCTCATATAGAAATAATTTTTTAAAAAAACCCTCAATTGAAGTATAAACACTGCAGTCTTTTCATCCATGGTCTAGGTAGTCTGCAGAAAGCAGGCTTAGGGCATTGACCTTCTAAATCTCAGATCTTATCCTAAATCTCTGATCTGATCTTGCCTTTTTATTTGTAAATTCTTCATTAATTTAATTTTTGAAAGCACTCAGTTCAGGCTTTTGGCCTAGAGATAGCCCTTTCTCTTTTGAGAATGTTGTAAAGTCCGTTTCATGAAGAGGCAGAGTAGAGGCCAATGATGTTTCTAGTATAGTTCATTACCCTGTCTTTGCTGAAGGAGTCCTGTGTGCTTCCCACTGTATAATTTAGTAGAAATTACCAATCTGTGGAGGAGACTCTCTACAGCGAGGAATAATACCCATATCTCTTTTGCCCGTACATCAGAACACTTGTTTTTAATCCCTGGATTTTATGGTTTGCCTTAGCATTTTGAGGTGCAGTGAAATCCTAGCCACTTTCTGAGGATATGACTATAATGTACTAAGCTCTGTCCTCACCTGTAACAGAGTCCATTTGGCTCTCAGTGATCTGCAACCAGGCTCAGATGTGCCATTTCTCTCTGGGTAATCAGATGAACCTGGAAGCAGACAGTTTGGTATACTAAAGTGAGTAGAGAAAGGCGGAAATAAAAAAGAACAAACCTGAAAGGAATCATAAATTTTCATTCTTGATGCTATTATCTGGATTTCTAAAGAAAACAAAGGATGTTCAGCAATGAGAAATCAGTTATTATTCTTAGAAGACAGTTGTTTTCTTCAGCAATTAAAAATATTTTGTTTTAATTTTTAAGATGATTATAGATCTTGGGACATTCAAAAAAGTGAATCTTGTAAACCAGAACAAACTTACCATCCCCCAACTGTGAAATTTGGAAACTCAACTACATTTCAGGATGACTATGTTCCTCGGGAGACAAAGCCCAGAGAAAGCTTTAAGCCTTCTTCTGTGCCCAGACATTCCACAGCCCCTTTTGATGGTGATACAAGTCATCGCCTTGACTATATACCTCATCAGCTAGAAGTCAAGTTTGCAAGGCCAAAAGAAGTTTACAAACCAACTAACCTCCCTTTTGAAAATCTCACCACTCATCGAAATGACTTTCAAGGTCTTATTGGTGAAACTGCAAAAATCTGCAGACCATCCTACACCAGAGTGACCCACAATGGTCACTTTGAAGGAAGCACTGAATTCCGTGAAAGTTTCCAACCATGGGAAATCCCACCACCTGAAGTCAAGAAGGCACCAGAGTACGTGCCCCCTACAGGAAGCATGCAGTTACACAGCACAAGCCATCTTGACTATGTTCCTTATCAGGCCAGCCGTGTTGTTCCCATCAGGCCAATTTCTCACAGAAAAAATAATTTTCCTTTCCAAGGAAAAAGCACCATGAAGGAAGATTTTCCAGCATGGGAAACTTGTCGTCCAGGACTTATTAAGCAAGAGCAGCAGATTCCCAACCCATCTGGAAAATTTGATGGTTTAAGCACTTCCAGATCTCACTATGTGCCACATGAATTGATTCCAACCAAGAGCTGCAAACCTTTACATGCTGCACTGAAGAGTTCTGTTCCATTTGATGATGTCACCATGTACACCATAGAGTATGCTCCAAAGAGACAGGAAATCTGTCCAGCTAGTTATCCTACTCCTCCAGGTTATACATTTGAAAATACAAATTTCCAAGGTCATAAATTCTTCCGCAAGATCACTCCAGCAGTGAAGGCTTTCTAATCATCAAATCATGTTTGAAAGGAAGCTAACAAAGCATTGGTTTCCAAAAGAAATCTCAAATAGTGAAAAAAATAGGAGAGATATATTTAGCATTTTAAACTAAATTGTAAAATGTATTAGAGATCAGAATTTAAAATTGATTTGGTATTGATATCTTCATCAAGATTGTTTTTAATGTGTATTTCTGAAAATTATATATTCCTATCTGAAATATTTTAATACTTAACATATTGTTTGACATCTTTGATAATGTACTCTTAATCTATTACCATTTATACTTTTGTTTATAATTATGGTAAGTGTATGATTACCAGTTGTCATTTATCAAGCACATTGGGGCTATCTGGAGTAACACTGAAAACAATACAAGTTCCTTTTCCATGGTGAGAGGGGCTTGTTTTCCTAGGACTGCAGGTCACCTGTAGTGATTTATTTGAAGCTGCTGCTCCTCCCCAGTTTATAGAGGTACTGCATGTTGCCAAGGAGAAGCTCTACGCTGGGAAACAGTGGATGGAATTCAGGTTCCAGTACCATGGGTTTCTGTTTGTGCCATCTTCCATAAGTGACTCCCATCTGTGAGCCTCTGGGTCTTCGTGGGTAACAGGATTCTTTTCCACATTCCTCACACAGTGTTTGTTTTGAGTATCAAATCAAATGATGCACTTTAATCCATAAAAGCACAACTGTAAGAGACTGTTAATAATCACTCAATAACTTTTTGTACCTTATTTGTCCTTTCAATTTAGGGTAATTTTATTTAGGAAGTCTGACAGCTCTGAAGAAGTCTTCAGAGTAAATTGGGTGACTGTGCTACACCTGGATTCACTGTTCAAAAGTAGACCTAGGCCCAGTATGGGACACAATCAACCCACTCACCACTTGCAGCAAAAGGGTAAATGCTAAAATGGGAGGAAAGGAGAGAAGCAGCGGTGACAGATTACACTTTGAAAGGCTGGCAATTTCCTAAGGAATTACACTGTTATTGGGAGTTTTTATAAATAGTGGCTGCTTTATGGAAGAATACATACAGTTTATTTTAGCATAAAGTGAACTTTAGTCTTATAGCTTTATGATTATTTCAATATATATACTTTATCAATAATAAATTAATAAATATTTGGTTAACATTTCTGATTGTTTGAAAGTAATTTGTCTCTACATTTACATTTATTAGCTTTATGTTTATATTTATATGCATTATTAATAAAATATCAATAAAAAGATTGGATTCTCGTAAAGTCATTTCTGTATCCAAATTTCTTTGGAAAAGAAAGCATTTTAATAAATTCTGGGCTAGGTTAACCTGTACATTTGTAGATGTTTATACTTGTAAGTAGAAAGTATTATGCAGTTAAAATGTAAAGTTACGTAATATGACAGCACACTCTCATCCTGGCCCATATTCTAGGCTGGGTGTCAAATTCCTGTGTAATGTGGGGTAGGGTTGGTCCCCTCCATGGACAAAGGTCACTCTTAATAAGCCATCCACTGGGGTTTCTGGAGGCAGTATGCTATAGACTGAGGATATAATGATGAAAAAATGATGTTGCCTTATAATGTAACTTAATAATAAGTGTGAAACAGAGACCACAACAGAGTACAGGAATGGGCTGGGAATTCAGCAGAGTCTTCCCTATGGGAGATAACCACTGATTGAATCTTAAAAGTAGGAATTTTCAGCTCAAGAAAAATGGGAAGGAACAGCATGAACACAGGCACACGGCATATTTTCATGTGTATCAGTTAAAGAGACTTCCAAGATATTAGCAGCAGTGCAAAACTAAGAATCACCAGCTCATCCTCTTTTTAGTTTCCATGAAATATTGTGCACGTGTAGACACACACACACACACACACACACACACACACACACACACTTTAACAGCCCTGGAAGCTTAATATTGTGTAGCAACTTGCCAGGTTCAGGAAAAAAGTTGGTTAAAACTTTCTACCTCCACTCTCACGCATTTTCACCTGAGCTTTCTGCATACTCTTGTTGAGGAAAATAAGACCAGACTCAGAAGTTAAAAATAGAGGCTTATGGTTTGTTAACCCTGTTGTCAGCTATGATCTCCGGGTGGCAAAGTGTCCACATGGGCTCATCAGTGGTAACCAACGTGCACCTCTGACCACAGGCTGATGGTAGAAGGGGATGTGTGTGTGGGGGCCTGGGGAACATGAGAAATCTATGTATGTGCCACTCAGTTTTCTGAGAACCTGAAACTGTTCTCAAAAGTAAAACATGATTAAAAACAAACATCCTTAGGCCAGGAAGAATCAAGGGGATGCTCACCAGTTAGAGGCTTGGAATCTCATCCCCAGCTTTCCATTTAGCTAATGGATTTTTTTTCGCTTATGCAAAACCACAAACCTATAGCTCTCTGAGAATCGCTTATAGGGAAAAAAAGCCTTGTAGGTCCAGGAGAAAAGAGGAAACTCAATCTTGAAATCACGAACTAGCAGACTTTGAAGACTATAGAGGGCCACAGTGTCTAATGCAATGTCAAGATTTTATTTTGTTAAGACTTTAACTTTTTTTATTCTGTCTTCTCTGTTTTTTATGTGGAGGGGCCAACTTTCACCCTGGATCACAGACACAGGACTTTCATCAGCGTCACCTCTTCCTAACTCACCCCCAGCCACAGCACATGACTGCTCTCTGGTGGCCTCTGTTATCTTCATTCATACTTTTTATTTTTGGCCATTATGGGGCTATAATGATTAACAAGAAAATGTGGGGAGGAGGTACTTACAGGAAGTAAGAAAGTAATAGGAAAATAAGCCAGAGAAACAGGCAATAGTTGTAAACAGCTATTCACCAACTAGAGACAGTGAATTACTTTTGTAGGGATACTATAATAAATTTCCACCAACTAGGTGACTCAAATAATAGAAAGTTAATGCTCCTTAGTTCTGGATGCCAGAGGCCCTTAGATCAAGCACTGGTTCTATCTGAGGGCTATGAGGGAATATCTAATCCATTCCTTCCTCCTAGCTCTAGGGGTTTGCTGGTAACCTTAGCTTGTAAGAGCCTTGCCTTTCTCTATACAGGGGAGTTGCCCTGTGTGTGTGTGTGTGTGTGCACGCAAATTTACTATTTTTTATAGGGATCAAGTTAGATGAGTGCATTCTTTAATAACTTCATCTTAACATGAAGTTATTAAACAAAGACGTTGTTTCTTAATAAGGTCACATTCACAAGCAATAGACATAAGCAAGTCATCTTTTCAGAGACTCAATTCAGACCATAAAAGATAGCAACTAAGCCTGTGAGAAGGTGCTCAACCTCGCTAGTCATTAGGGAAGTGTAAATTAAAACTACTGTCTATTAAGAAATAAATGGCCAAGAAAAAAAATACCAACCTGATGGTAGGGAGAGACGGCAAGGACAGAGCAGCCAGTGCAGCTGGCAGGAATGTGGAATGGGGCAGCCACTTTGGGAAACAGTTGAACAGTTTCTTACAAAGCTATACACACATCCTGTCACTTAGCAAACCACTTCCAAGTGTTCATCAAAGACAAATGAAAAACCTTGGGTTGATATAAAAACTGTACATGAATGTTCATAGAACTTTGTGCATAATCACCTAGAAGACAACTTATATGTCCTCCAACTGGCAAAAGGATAAAAATGTATCCAAAGAACTATGATTCTCCCCAAAACACAATATAAACATGCTTTGCTAAGTGCAAGAAACCAAACCTGAAAGGCCACATATTGTATGATTCCATTTATACAAATTCTTGGGAAAGGCAAAAATGTACAGAAAATACATGAACAATTAAAAGGAAGTGAAGAGGGCCTGGGGGCAACTGACTACAAAGAAGCAGGGGGAAAGAATTTTGTGGATGCTAGAACTATTATGTCTGATACTGATGGCAGATACACAACTCTGTATTTGGCAAAATCATTTGAACACTACAAAATGCAGTATATTGTAATTAAATTATAAAAATCACAACCTAAGAAGAGGATGGACCCAAGAAAGGATGCAGAGTGTGACAAATGGGTACAACTGTATACAAATTTATCACATAGCCACACTGACAGGATTAGCAAAAAAAAAAGAAAGAAAAAAAGACCCGTGATGTGACACACTGGCCACTATGAAAGTAAAGACTAAAAGAATTGTACACAACACTACATACACAAGTTGATAATTTTCTCACTTTAACAGGGGTGTGTCTTGACAATTGTAAACGACTTTTTAGGTATACTAAGGATGAATCAATGAAATATAGATAATGGACCCTGGTTTATCCCTATCAGACTAAGAAACTACAAGTAAGCAAAGAGGGTAGCCCAAAATGAGCAGTCGTGCTGAATGAGTGTCCCAGGTTTTAGTATGAATTCATAGATACAGAAATAAAAACAGGTGCACATGTGTATCCACAGGTGGTGCATTCAACCTCAAAAAGTTCCCACTGGCAAAAGGGAGACCAACCTGAGCAACAAAACAATGACAGTGTTGGAATTTTCCAACTTTTTCTAACACTGCAGTAAACAAACACAGCATATAATTTCACCATCTTGACTTTTTAAACATACAGCTCAGTGGTATTAGATGCACCAGTACTGTGTCACCATCTCCATCTTTGTAACTTATTTCCTTCTGCAAAACTGAAGCATTCTGCTCATTACACAACCATGCCTCCACCCCCTAGATGCTTGCAACCACCTTTGCATTCTGTGCTTCTCTGCTGAATATACTTGAGTATGTCATATAAATGGACTAACTCTAGATCTTGATGTTTACTGGTGTTTGGTCAGGATACCCAAGATGTTGGACTCAGGCCTTCTCCATGTTAGTGAGTTAGCATGTTATGAATCCCACACAGGAGCAGCAAATATGTGAAGAGTAGTCTTATGTAACATTTTGGCAATGTACTGGCTCTGCATGATATCATATTCACTGTTAAGGGAGTGGGATGTTTCAGTGATACTGACGCTGCTGCTGACATAGTAAAGGTGTGTCTGACATTCCCATTGCTTCACATATTCTCTTCAGGTTGCCTGAATTTTAGGTGAACCTTCTTGGTCTGGACCAGTGACAGAACATCTGGTCAGGGGTTCTGTAGAACATCACTAAATCTGGGGTTATCATGTTTTCTTATGATTAAATTAGAAGATAGAATAAGGGCTTTCTCCACCAACTGTAGGTAAGATGTCTAGCTGTAGACAAGTAATATTGATCCCTACACTCCTCACAGAACTCCCATGCAGCTCTACAAGTATGCAATGTGGGAGTCACCACGCTATCCTGACAAATAAAAAGCCAAACAGACTAAGGAAAATATCAACAACTCTTCTTAGATCCAGAAGACAGGAGAGGCACCATCTTCCAGATAGGAGAGATGGATGAATACCACAGAAAGCCATAGCTTACTCCAGTTGAGAGGAATCTCAGAGGAACTGTGGCGGGTAGGAAAACCTGAAATGTAACTGAAAAGTTGCTAAAGTCTCACATGGACAAGCCTGAGAATTACAAATTCCAGATGACCCAGTTATGAGAAACAGCACCCACCATACTGTGAGATTTATCTCCAGGAATTTGACCAGGTTCAGACTGTAAGAGAATATCCCTGCTGTGCTTCCAGCAGTGAGGAGAAAGAAACATCTTAAAATACACCATAGCGACCTGCAAGGCCTGCCCTCAGGAAAAGCTTATTAAACAACTTAATTTGCTAGGATGGTTATGATTATCAAAATCTGACTAAGATCATGGACCACTTCTAGCCCACAGTAGCTGCCAGTGAGGGAGTTGGAAAAGACTCACAATGGTTCAGCCTACATCCTGACCTACCCTAGGGGAAGAAAAAGTCAGAAACACATTTTGAGGACAGACGCACAGGCTCACTGGAAGACTGGAACCTACTTGTGAGGTTACAGAATGCTTCTCTTTTCTCCATGCCTTCTCACCACACTACTGGAGGACTACATGTAGCAGTTCATTTTTTATCTGGTTTGATGATCAAAAACAAACAGTAAGACACACTAAGAGGCAAAAAATACAATTGAAAAGCCAGAACAAGCATCCAAACTAGACATGGCAAGTCTGGATGCTTCCCTGACTTATGAATGAGCTGTCTGATCTAAGACAGCATTCATACGCTTTCGTATATCCCACAAAGTGAGTCTTACTCACCTTTGGCACAGATATACAATGTGTATTATATTGCACTTCCTAGCATCCCCCTCTGCATCACTGCTTTTCCTCTAG